GGTCTCCCCTATTAGGTTGGGTATGGAAACAGCTTAGAAACGTTGGTTAGTTGTTAAGGTCTCCTGCTGATTATAACAGAGATATCGAATCGAATGCTGCCTGCACTGGGTTGGGGATTTATGGGGTTTGGGACAGGCTTCCCCACACCCTACACACACCCACACCTTTGTATAGCCCCTTGGAGTGAAATCGAATATAAATTTAATATGCTTAAAATATTATTTATATTTTAAAATTTGAAAATAGTTTTATATATTTACAATAATATCGTTACAAATTTTATATGTTATTAACCTGCTCCGGTGTCATTCCTATGACCAATCAATTCCCTCTTAGTGAATTTTGATGAACATCAATTAGATAATTCACCATTATTTTTGGTAAAAGGCAAAGTTTTTAAAATCAAATCGGATAATGAATCAGTTAGAGGTCTGGTTCGGGCTTTTGCGTTAGTATTTTACACTGCTTCGGGCTTTTGCACCCGGCCCATTCGTATTTTGACAAAAAGCCCAACCTGAGGCCATCCAAGTTGTACCCCTAGTTTGTTTATTGTATTGGTGCATCCATGTAAATCTCACATTGATGTCACATCAACTACGCTGTTGAGAATTGAGACTTAGCGTATCAAGAAAGAAAATTAGAAGTGCAAGTTGGACAGGCTAGGCTGGGTTTAATGTCAATCTAGGCCCAATCATATGGATTAGGCTTGAGGCCTAATCCTGATCTTTCCAGGTTGGGCCCAACCTTAACTAAAATTTGACATATTCGGGTTGGTCCATTGAGCTTAGGCCCAATGTATTACAAAGTTGCATGGAACTACTTATTATCAATAATTTAAATTTTTAAATAGTAAATTATATATTTTAAATATATGTATGTAGGTAGATATGTATTTAAATGTGTATTATAGGTATATGGTCGGATTGGGCTTACTGGCTTAGGTTTGATCTAACATTGGGATAAGGTTGTGCTTGAACATGGGGTTTTGGGCCTAGGACCAGACTGAGGATAAAAACTCCCAATCCCAACGCATTTAAAATTGGGAGAGGATAGTCTGGGCTTGGATTAGAGCTGGCCTAAGTTGCATATATTTCTTCAAACAGCCCCTGCACAAAATCCATGGTAAATGTTTTTAGATGGTAAGGTCTGTTGCTGGTTGTAGTAGAGTTTTGTAGTCGAATCCCACCTGCACCAGGGTTGGGAGATGGGCTAGCGGGCTACCCCAATCTCCATAGAATGAGGGAACCAAAGAAAATTAATTAATTAATTACTGTATTTCTTCCTCATTGTAAGCTGAGGATCTCAAAATTGATCAGTTCTTTTTTGTTTATTGGATATGTACACGAAGCCGAAGAGCTGGTAACAAATGTAAACTGTCCTTAGGTAGAGACTAGAGACTGGGACATGGGAATTGTTCAATAGCTTGTGTGGCTAAAGCTGAACCATCAGAATAGGTGATGGTACCGTATGCAGCATCCTGACCTAGATCATGCGGTTTTTATTTCTCTTTGTTTTAGAAGGTCCTTGGGGCAAATTCATCCATCAACAAAATTCGGTTTACATCTCTTGGATAACGGTGTCAAGGAGAAATTCAAGGACTTGGGACCATGTTTTCACTCTCGTACAAGTAGTAACAAATTTAGCAATCTTGCGGGTAGCCAATTTTGTCCTTCTAGACGCATGATTTAATCGAGGAGCTTGAGAAGGAACGCAGAAACTGTTTGCATTCAACGTCCAAAATGCTGACAGAACTTCTTTTATTCAATGAAGTGGTCCTTTGTGACAACTGAGGAGTAGTTTTTCCTGTTCTAGCTTTGGTGGTACAGGTACACCAATGCAAATGAAAAGTACATAGCTTCTCTGTTCTCATAGGGTTCATGTAGCCAGTGGATAGAGTACTGATAATATATATATGGTCCCTCACAGAAGAGTAGAAATAAATTTCAAAGGTAAGGCATGGAAGTTTTGATGATCATGCTTTCCACCAATTGAAGGGATAGCATAATCATCCCAACATATCTTCCAGCAGTTCAGGAGATTACATTCTGCTGATTTGATTAAACATTAAGAGATGAACCAACAAGCAATTTAGTTCAGGCAATTCAGCTGCTGCTGAATGGCTCTTCTGCAAACTATGTTTAATGATAACGGGAGAGATTATAATGGCACCATATATAAAAGAGTTATTGCATCATGTCTTGGGGATGTCATGTCAATGAGAGCAGCCCACTTGGATCTGTCATCTGCTCCTACTTGGACAGGTTACTTTGATATGAATGTAATGGGTTAGGTCCTTAGGATCAGGTTCTTCCTGAAATATTACACAAGTAATTAAAAATGGTTTCATGTTAAATGGTGCTATTCTAAAATTAATATAGAAATCATAAGAGCCCATTTGGTTCGCGGGAATAGGGGTTTGGAGTTGGAATCATAATGGCCCACTTCAATTGGAATCCCATTTCTATTCTTAGTGAAATGTTATTTCCTTAAGAAAGGTCATTCTTTCCCTTCTGTTAGGAATGAGATTCTATTCCAACTGATTCTAATTCTTATTTGAACCAAATAGGGTATAGAAATAAACCATTCAGCTGATTCCGATTTCAAAGGATTCTAATTCCAATTTTGATTCAATTGTGTCCACGAAATTAATGGATCCTAAACATTTTTATTTTGCAACTAACAGGGTATGGATGTAGGGCCAATCCTACAAATTTAGGGAGAGCTTCTTAACTCTGAGGTGTGCAATGACGATTTATACCTGCAGACGTAGGTGCTAGTAATTGTGTCGATCGGTTGCTTGAGTATTCATCCTCAGGAAGCGATTTAAATGCATGACACAGCGATTGCTGATTAGCCCAGTACTGTTGTATGAGCTAAAGGGTACAGGATTTTCATTCAGTCTCTTTGCATGAACCGTTGGTGAGCCTATACAGTGAGAAGCTACAATCCTTCCTCAATTCGAGTATAGCTATTTGAATTTTTTTGTGTGGATATTGAAATCTTTTGAATTAAGATCATTCAAAATTAATCTTACAGATAAATTCCCTAGAAACAAGCAGAAGTTTTAAAATAAGTAGGACTAATAATAATAATAATAATAATAATAATAATAATAATAATAATAATAATAATAATAATAATAATAATAATAATAATAATAATATAAAAATAATAATAATACTAATAATAATAATAATAATAATAAATAATAATAATAATAATAATAATAGGAGTGTAAATCAAGATATACTTAGAATTGGAGATCAAGATAATTTATTGTGACCATTTTTGTACCTTGGTTCATTAATTCACAACAAGGGAGAGATTGGGGAGAGTGTCACCAAGACTAAACCAGGTTGAGCAAAATGGATGGATGCATCTGAATTTTTATATAATAGAAGAATACCAGTTAGATTAAAAGAAAAATTCTTAAAACAGTTGTAAAATAGCTATATTGTATAGAGAAGAAAAAATGCAAATGTTATGATAGATGAATGGAAAAAACCAAAAAAGATAGGTTTAAGAATGAAGCCATCTAGAAGTCTAAGAATAGCTCCAATAAATGATAAAATGAATAAAAATATATTAAGATAATTTGATCACATACATAAAATGCCACCAACAGCTCTAGTTAGAAAGTATTATATGTTCATGTTAATTTAGTCTCAATTGACAAAGCCCATGAATAGATTGCACGGCTGCACGGGTTCCCATAGTACTATATATAAAATTTAAAAGTAATTAGCTTTTTAATTTATTTTATTTTAAAAATAGGAAACATAGTGCAATTAAACTTTAATCCGTTCCAAGTCCAGTTGGACTCAAATTCAATTCAAGAACTTCAAATCCAATTAGATTTAGATTCAGTTTTCATTAATCTCATTGGATTCGGATTTTTGCTGAATCGACTTTTTTTCTTATTTTTTCATTTTTTCCTGATTCTACTCTGTTTACAGCCCTAGGTGGAGCTGTCAATTGGTCGGAACCTATATAAGGTATCTCTTCTATAAACTTTTATCAATATATAAACAGTTTACTGTCTACTGTCATCTTTATTAGGATTATATATATCAAAGATGACGTTCCAAAGTTGTCATGTTATACGCAATTATAGATGTCAAATATAATCAGCTGAGACCTCGATTATCCCAATTAATAACTGGTTTAATTCTGATACTGAGTTTTGTTCCCCGATTGTAATTGGGCTGGGACCAGTTCCACTCTGTAGCAAATCAGACCCGACACATTAACAGCCTTATACATAGGACAGGAGACCATGACCATGCAGTGTGGGCCTGTGGCCCGAGAGAGGGAAAGGGCCTTGATAATGGAGTTTGGGCCTCTGGGGGGACAGGGGCAGGCTTGTGTCAGCATTTGCAGAAGCTCTGCACTTCTGGCGCCTGGAATCTGGAGGAGCGAATCTTATTGCGGTTTGACCATCACTATGCTAAACCCATCAAAACATCTAAATTTCCATTAGGCTCAGTTTGGAATAAGTACAAATATAAATATGTAGAGTGTAAAATCTTACATTTTCTACTATTTTATATGTATTTATATCTTATATATTTGCATTTGCACTCCTTTCAAATTAAGCCTTAAATTTAGTATGGACAAATACAAATATGTATAATATAAATATATATAAAATATAAAATTTTGCATTTTATATATTTATATTTGTATTTCTTCCAAATTGAGCCTCAGACTGAATTTGAAAGAAGTATAAATGCAAATATATAAAAACATAAGATTTTATGCTCTACATATATATCTGCATTTTTACTCCTTCCAAACTGAGCCTAATCTTGGAATTCTTGCTCATTTCAATGAGTCCACTCCCGTACCAAAAAAAAAAAAGCCTCTAACCTTTTGACGTGCGTATTGTATCCGTTATCAATTTTTAATAATTATCAAAAAAAGGATTAGGGTATTTTAGTCATTTAACCAAAAACCCATGCATTTTGGCTATATACCACTCACCAGATAAATCTGACACCCGGGTTGGCTAGAGGATTTATGTTGCTCCATCTCAAATTCTATTTAACTACTCTGTTCTTCTTACCCAGCAGTGTACGAGGACTGTAGGACACACAGACACAGTCTCTCTCTCTGCGTGTGTGTGTCAGAATCTCAGCCATGAACATGAAGACGACCAACAAGATGAGGGGTTTAATGTGCCAGTCGCCCGGGGCGACGGCGGTGTGTATGCCAGGAGATCCCCGATCAGTGGTCGTGCCGAGGAGGCCGGACAGATCGTTGGTTGATGATTCTATGTTGATCAACTCCAAGTACTATCGGCTCATTGAGCCCCGGAGGTTGTCTTCTTTGGGTGATAACAGACCAGCGCCACTGTCTTTGTCGTCGTCCATCCGGAGGGAACGAGAGTTCGAACGAAGGTCCTCGAGCACTTGCTCCATACCCACTTCACTAGCTTCCTCTGATCAGGCCTTTCAGGTCAGAGTAGTTCACAACAACCACCTATTTAGAATATTTCTTTCTCCTCTTTTCCTCTTTCTCTACCTACTGTTGGACTGTCGGAAAGAGTTCTGCAACCATATGAAGTCACGGGTTGGGTCCTTGCTTCAACGCTGGCACCCCACATTGTCAGTTTTGATCACAGAAATTATATTTAATTCATAGAGTATTTTGTTTTCTTCGATGAAGATGTAAACAAAATAAAAGGAATATTCTGCCTTTTCTGTCCTACTTAATTTCTTCTTCTATAGTTAAGAGAAGGGCTAAGTAGCTTGTAGTTGGGATTTGGGAAATTGAGAATGGAAACTCCAAAGTCATGCAGAAGTCGATCTTTTAGCAAATTCAGAATCTTAAGTTTATCTCACAAATCAGGATGCATGTCCTACAAGCATGCATGCCTACGGCATCACATCCCTTTTCTCTTTTATTTTTTTCATCTAATTCAAGAAATCTCTTAGGCTGTTTTTTTGTTTGAAGGAAAAGTAAGGAAAAGGAAGGAATTTCTCTTCTTTTCCTTACCTTTTTCCTCCAAACCAAACACAACATTAGGTAGTAGGTGGCTTTACTCCCTCTGCACATGGGTTTGTATGTTTTACACAGGGAATGGGAAACGCCATTAAAAAATGGAAGAAGAGATGAAGAGAAATTAAAATGAAAAAAAAAATTAAAGATTTAAAAATAACGAATTAATTCCATTTTGTTATATTTTAACTTCTTAACTGCAATTTTCTTTTTCTTTCACAATTTACTTTTGAGGCAGGTGGTTGTTATGAAAGTTTCTCTTCATTGCCAAGGTTGTGCTGGTAAAGTGAGGAAACACTTATCCAAGATGGAAGGTATTATTTCTCTTCCCTGCAGCAACTGAGTTGATCTCTTTTTCCTCTTGGTTAATCCTTGGTATATATTTGTTAATTAACGTGATGTTTTATGATCTTCATGATAATAAAAGGGGTGACTTCATTCAGTATAGACTTGGAGACGAAGAGGGTGACTGTGATGGGACACATCTCACCTGCCGCCATTCTGGAGAGCATATCCAAGGTGAAGAAGGCGGAGTTATGGATGAATTGTTGAAAGAGATCGATGTACTTCCTTTATATATATATATATATATTGGTTGTTGAATGGACGACTACAACTTGAGAAATATTATTGTATTTGGATCTTGTTTTCTGAAAAAATGGTGTTGTATCTGCAGCATCAATGCCAATTATATACATTGTTAAGTGGAACAATGTATTTGTAGGTCAATTCGTTTTAGTTTAGGCCTCTAATGTTTGAGATGAGATTATCATAAACTAGGGTTCAATTATCATAAAAAAAAGACATAATACATATCGAAAAAAACTTGTAACCAATCAACCAATATCATAAAAGTGATAACCAATTAGGTGTTTATTTATCAAATTCACAAGTGAGTTTTGATTAATCAATGTCCTTTTGCTATCATATCATTTCCGCTTCGTCAATTTTTCCCATATAAACTATTACATTGTGTTTTGGACCAAAATCTCTTAAGGGTGTTCTATAACATAAATGCTTCTTGTTTTCATTTTTTCTGAAATCACCAAAAACCGCAACATATTTTTTTGTTTTAAGAAATAGAAATAAATTGGTGTTTTTTAAAGGGTTCGACTATCATATGGAAAAGACATGATATCCAAAAAACAACTGACCAATAAATTGACATAAATGTGATGAGGAATAAAGTGTTATTTATCAGAATGCATGAGTGGGTTTTGATTGGTCAAAACTCTTTCCATACCATATCTTTTTTGCATCTTAGATTTTTCCTTTTTTTAAAAACCATTCATATTTTCACAACTACTAATATGATAGTTTTTTGAGTACATATATTGTATAGTATCTATAACATGATCATACGACAAAGGCTTATTTTAATCAGAGCTAAAGGTTACCAACAAACCTGCTTAACTCTAATGGATCTGTCTGAGCTGAAGCATGAGCTAGGCCATTAGTAGACCCATTTACATAAGCAAAAGAAACATCTAAATCCCTGGCCAATTTTAAGATGCTTTTATCTAGAAAGAAGATATCCGACTTGACTTCAATCTTTGAATCCTTGCCCATTGCAACCAAATTCAAATAGTTCTACTCAAGCACCATAGGAGCAATGACTAGCTCTCTAGTCCTTTCATATAAGCAATTGCCTCTGTCCCCATTGGGTATCTGGCCTCCCCAACATGATCGGGATGGGGAGTGAAGTTTCCAACTCGCCCCGCCCGATTGTATATATTAAATATTATTTGTATTAAATATATGTATATATACATATATAAATATAATATTATTTATATTATATATAAATATATTTAAAATATTATTTGTATTTTGATTTTTTCCTTTGGCTCAGTTTGGAAGGAGTATACATACAAATATGTACAATGCAAAATCTTGTATTTTGTATTATTTTGTATGTATTTGTACTATACATTTGTACTTTTTTCAAACTAAGCCTTTATTTCAAATAATTCTTTTATCCAAAAACAAACTTTTAATTAAAAAATTTGGGAGGCTGGGTCTCTGATGGTAGAGGTGTCAATTCGACTGGATTTAGTCTAACCTGATCCAGTCCAAATCCAATCCAATCCGTTAAAATGTAAATGGATTGGATTGGAAATATCAAAAAATATATAAAAAATTATAAAAATATATTAAAATGAAGAAAATCTAAAATTCACATAAATATACCCTTTTGGCATTGAAAAACACTTTTATAAAAGTGCTTTCATAAACATGAAAGTACTAGTGCTTTTATAAAAGTACTTTTATAAAAATACTTCTGTAGAAGTGCCTTTATAAAAGTGGTCGCAAAAGTACATTTATAAAAGTACTTTTGTATAAGTGCTTTTATAAAAGTACTTTTGTAGAAGTGCTTTTATAAAAGTACTTTTGTAAAAGTGCTTTTGTAAAAGTTCCTTCATAAAAGTGCATTCCTAAAAGTACTTTTATAAAAAGTGCTTCCATAAAAGTGTATTTGTAAAAGTACTTCCGTAAAAGTTTTTTTTAGTAAAAGTGATTTCACAAGTGTTTGTGTAAAAGTACTTTTACAAAAGTGCTTTCCTAAAAGTATTTTTTGCAAGTGTTTTTATTAAAGTGATTTTATTAAACTATTTCTGCCAAAGTGCTTTTGTATAAGTACTTTTCATAAAATTACTTTTGTAAAAGTGTTTTCGTAAAAGTACTTTCATAAAAGTGATTTTATGCCAGCTTCAGTTTTGATTGGTTTCAAATTGGATAAGGGTTTGGCCTCATGATTGGATTATTGGAAATTTAGTTTAGGTTCAATTCAGACCAATAAGAATATATATGGATCAATTTATTTTGGACTAGCCCAACCCAATAATTATAATGAACCGTCCAATCCGATTTAATAAAATTTGGATCGAATTGAATCCAATCTAAAACCGATCGGTTGACACCCCTACCTGATGGGGAATTCACCTCTGTCAGGGATTAGTGATGAAAGCTAAATTTTTCCTCGAAAGAGATTAAAGTTGGGATGGGAATTATTTTGAAAGTTCGGGTTGGAATTGAAGAATATAGTCCGTGCCTTAACCAGGCCCATTGCCATTCCTGCATACAAAGTAGAAGAAGCTGGTTCAGAACCATCCAAAATCAGCAACCAAAATATCTCTCAAATGATTCTTTAACACAGCTCCATAGCCAACAATACCTATTAGTTTGTAATGTAAATTTGACAAACACCCCCTAAAGTAACAAACTAAGAGCCAACACTATGTTACTTGGGTTAACGGTGATAATAAGATGCCATGACTACTGATAGGCCTTTTAGATGTTATTTCTCTTGCTCTCTCTTATTAAAGTATCTTATATATCTCTTACAATACGTGTATGGAATTACTATAAATAAATCATGAAAAAACATATAAGAGGTGTTTGGTTCCATTGTGCATTCTTTTTCTATTTGCATTTTTTATGTGACTTTTGGGGAAATGTTTATGCATGATATTGTTTGGTTCTATTCATGTAAGAGCCATGTCTGTCACCACACTAAAAATTGCTTTGAGAAAAGAAAAAAAAAGTCAAAAATGACATTTTTAAAAAGGACAGTTATATATATATATATATATACTGTTTTCTCAAAACTGGATGTGGCTCCAACATGGCAGAAAACAGTGATGGAACCAAACACCACTATAATTTAGTGAATTATCTGTTTGCATGTGTATTAATTGTTAAATGTTACATCCGTTAGGTTAATCCTATACCAACCGACAGAATGACAGACTTTAGATTGTGAGCAAGAGATAGCTCATTAACTACAATATAAGGGTGTCAACGGATCAGTTTTGGATTGGACTCCATCCAGTCCAAAATCAATTTGGATGGACTAATAAGACATATTGGATTAGACCAATCCGGTCCAAAATATTTATTAGATTGGATTGGACCTGGTCCCTCTGTAACAAATTTATATTGGACTGAGTTGGATTAAGCCAATATCTGATCCATTGATACAAGATGAGAATATATGTGTCAATGAACAGAATTTGGGTTGAAACCAATCTAGACCAAAATAAATTTAAACAAATTGGACAGTCTAGACATTTAATTGGACTGGTCCAAATTGGTTCAAAGCATTCATTAGATTGGATTAGACCTGGTCCATTTATAATGGATTCACATTGAACTGGATCGGATTGGACCAAATCCAATCCAATTGACACCCTACTACAATGTGCCTGTTCGTATTGATAAACACCACCTTAATTGACTGTTCATAGCATTTTTTTCTCGGGGAGGGGGGGAGGGCAAAGCTAATATGATTACTTGAATATGATCATAATTTTCATAATCTAATACATGACTCTAAATACCAAAAATGCTAACATTTTTATTTAATTTTTCACTTGATGTTTAATATATCTTTCCTTTTTAAAAAAATGGGTTTCCTTGATTTTGCTTTATTAATTACAAAGGGGATGGATAGGTCAAGGCCATTGGGTTGGGCAACGGGGTGGGTTGGTTATTAGATAGGACAAGTGCATTGAGTAGAGTGTATGAGTGATTATATAGATCAAGTTGGGCTTTACACTTATGATAAGGGCTATAGTCTAGGCCCAACCTGGCCTCTTCTAGCTTGTCTTTTATATATAAAATACTATATATATACATATTTAAATATATACAGGTCGGTTCAGGGTTGGGCTTGAAGTATTAGGCATAGACCCAATCTTGAAAATTTTGATATGCAGACCTAGGCCAGAGCTAAGGTATAAACACAAAATCTAGGTCCAAGCCTAGAATTTTTCAAGCTGGGCTTATGTGGATGGGGATGAAATGATCACCCCTAGCAAAGTGCTAGGGTAGATGGGCATTGGGCAGCAAGGCAGGGCAGCCAAATGGTGCACTAGGTGGGCAGAGCAAGTATGGGCAAAGGGCTCCCGCATGGGTGCCTGTGCACATTGAGCAAGGCATGGGATGCATTTGTGCACATGTCCCATTTGAGACTTTTTTCAAACACATGGGGTTCATCCATTGAAACCCTACCTTCAATTCTTAACCTCTTGACTAAAAAGTGTATTTAATTATGGATAAATTTCTTAAACTATGCCATCATGTCACGGGGCTAGTCGTTGAGGCCCTGTGCGGCACTCGAATGCGACGAGTAAGCCTAAGCAACAAGCAATAACACAAAAAAAGGCAACAAAAATGGCACACGAATTAGCAAAAGGCTACTTGTATTGCATTAATGGATGGCAAGCATAAGCACACAGTTCAGTGACGAGGGGATCTCATGCTTAACCTTTACAACTACCTACCTCCCCTCAAAGAGTATGTTAAGCTTTTGGGTGAGTGACATAAAGATACATCAAAAGGATGAAAAATCATACTAGGTAATTACATAAATGCCATTGGCAATCCCCCCATACAAGAATACATGCATAGCCCACCCATGACACACACTTGGACACCGGAGTGGCGGCTATAGGCATGATGGATGGCACTTGATGGCGCGGCGAAGAGAACACTTGTGATAGTCTCCCCCATTCAATTCAGTCTTCGTCCTCGAAGACTAGCTTCTATTTGAGGCTCAAATCTGCTGTTGATGAAGGAGGGTTCCTCAGTTGCTCCACGAAGTTTATTTCTTCCAAGACCCGGGCATGATGATGGGTGGAAGTCATTAGGGTGTTCTGGATGGTGGGAAAACCTATGGCTAGTCCCTACGTTAAGTCCTTGCTTGGCTGCTTCAAGGTAGGATTTTG